GAGCGCTAGCCTGCCCGGGGCAGGGACTCCAGACTCTGCAGCCTCCTCCTCCTGCACGGCTGCATCAGATGGGGAGCCGGTCCCCTCCCCAGATGCAGCCGCTCAGGACTCTGCTCCCCACAGCCGTCCAGCTTTAGAAAGCAGGCAACTTCTCATCGCATCTGGCCTTTTCAGTCTCCAGCTAGCTCCGCCGGGCTCTCTGGGACCAGTGCATGAGGCAGCTGGGTCCCCGGAGCCAAGGGGGGCAGGTGTGTAGGGCACGTCACCCCCAGGGCTGGTCTCACCCCTTGCAGAAGTGCTGCCGGGACCCAGATTCTCAGGGTTTGCCGCACAGCGCGGGAGCTCATCCCCTTCCAAAGGGCCTGTCCCCTGCCAAAACCCCGTGGGTTTTCTCTCCCTCCTTCAGCTTGGACGCTCTCGTTGTGCTCAGGAATCCCCCAGCCCTGAATGGGTCCTGCTCTCTCTCTGGATGTGGGCAGGGGCTTTTTTCCTGGCATGCATTTAGCAGGGGCATGGGGAGTGCCCACAGCTCCCTGCTTTGGCTCGTCCTGGGTTGTGCAAGGGTTTGCAGAGGGGATATGACAGATGTCTTGGAGTTGGAATAGCCTGCAAATATTTGGAATAGCCTCTCCATCCCAGACTTGGGCCCATCTGCGGGGCACGTGCCGTGCCGCCTCTCCGCTCTGCCGCTGGCCTGAATTGTGCCCAGCAAAGCACCGGCAGGGTCGGGTCTTCAGCAACCCATGACTCTGGGGTCAGGGAATGGAGCTGACTTGTCTGACCGCTGGGCACCGCACAGGGCAGGGGGCTCTGGCAGGCAGAGGGGTCTGGTTTGCCAGGGAGGGGCTGGCCCTGGAGGGAGCTGGGGACCCAGCCCCAAGACAAGCGGGCACTGATCGCACTAAACCAGGGGCATTGCAGAGCCTGGAGCAGTGCTGGTGCAGCTGGGTCGCCCCATGTCTCGCTTGGCACCGAGACCTGTGCAGCCCTGAAGAGCACCAGGTTGCGGCCACCACCGTCTGCAGCCATCCTACCAGGGCCTGGTTTTCCCCTGCCCCTAAGGGCATCCCCTGCCCAGCACTGTTAATGATCAGGGGTTAATTGCTGTGCAGAGCGATTTGGGAAATTCGTGGGTGACCTCCAGTGGCTGCCCTGCAAACCCCCTCCCCACCCGGCTCCAGCATGTGGCCGTGGGCTGGGACCCAGCCCTGGCACGAGGGTCCTGCGAGGGGTGCAGGAGCCGGGCTGAGCTGTGCTGCCATGCAAGCCCTGATCTGATCTCATCCGTTTCGTGCCCTGGAAGGGCTTTGTGAAGCTGCAGCAGAGGAAAGCAGAGGCCTGTGCCCCAGGGCCCCGATCCTGGCTGCCTCTCTCCAGCACACGGCTGAGCCTGGGAGCCTGCAGGGGACGCCTGCCCGCCCTGCGCAGAGGAGCTGGGGACCCCCGCGCCCTCCCCGGATCTGAGCTTGCGTCCTGCAGCCCCGTCTTAGGGACCTGCAGCCCTCGGGGGTCTCCTTCCTGCCCGTGGGGGCATCCAGGCTGGAGCTGAGCTGGGTGGGGGGTGCTCCCTGGGGCCTGGATGGATCAGGGCTAAGGGTCCGGGGATGCGCTGGCACCTGCCCCAGCCCGGCTCAGCCACCTCTTCATGCCCTCCCTCCCTGCCCCGGTCCTGGGGCCCTGCAGACCACCCCCTGCCCCCCTTACTCCAGCCCCGCTGCAGCTCAGCCTTTCCCAGGCCAGGAACAAAGCCGAGCTGTTGTTGCCCTAAGCCGCCTGCAGCCAAAGGCCTTTCATCTCGGGCTCATTTCCAAATGACTAGTGACACCCGGGGCTCCAGGGCACTGTTCCAGCAGCGCTTCCCAACATCAAACAGGAGCCGGGGGGAGCAGGGCAGGAGGGGGCTTACGGGAGCAGCACTCGCCTCTGGGGCCCTGGGCTGCATCGCCGGGGGGGCAGGGCTGTGTGGGGGGCAACGGGGAGGGCTGTCCGGACTCGGGCTTTTCCCCCTTGCACTTGGCCCTGCAGCCCCCCAGCCTGCTGCAAGTCCCCGCCAGTTCCCAGGAGCTCAGTGCCAGCCCCTCGGCTTCCCGAAGCCCAGCTGCTTCCAACACAGCGATGGGGACTTTCCTGCTCCTGGAAACACCCCCCACGCACCTCCCCGGCCCCCAATCTATCCGAGCTGCTGAGATCCCCAGCTCTGAGCACCCACACTGGCGGGATCGCCCACGGCGGGGTGGCAGAAGCACGAGCAGGGGATCCCGCCGCTGTGCTCGGTGGGGATGAGGCATCCCCAGCTCCATGCAGGCAGGGGAGGGTGCACGTAGGATCTTGAAAAGTGGGGTGCACTCGTCGCATCGAACACAACACCTCTTCTTCTCCAGGTAAAAAAAACCTAGAAGCTTTCTTTATCCTCTGGGGTCCCTTCCAGCCCAAATGTCTATGAAATCTATGAAATCTTATATGGCAGGGGCCTGGCATAGGACGTTATTTGAAGCAAAACCAATTACAGCTTCATTATAATGCGCACTCATTTGCTCGGCGATATATTCCATTTAAAAGCACGACAAACTCAGCAAAAATAGTCAGAGGATTGTTTCATGAGTCCAATAGTGATTATAGTCACGCATCCATCTCTTATTCAGCTTCATAAAACAGAAGCCGGTCGCCTTGGGCACCTTGACAATGCATCCAACCCTTCGCTGTCAGTCATTGCCACACCTGAGTTAATGCTCACCAGATCTTAGTATGAGCACACCTGAGTCCAGGCTTACAGGGAGAACTAAAAGGAGTCTGCAGGGCTGTGAAATAGAGGAGAGAAATGCCCTGGGGAGTCTAACAGACAGCAGCAGCCAGAAGAAAGGCTGGCTGGATTAGCAGAACATGGAGACCGCTGAAGAGGAGAGAGGGTCGTTAACACCTCTGGCGTGAGGAGTGATTAGCAGGAATAGCCGGCAATGAGCCATGGAGTCAACTGACTCCACACTGCCTGAGTAGAAATGCCACAGCCCCTCCCAGCGGTTTTGGTTTAAAGCTGGGAAGGAGCAGGAATCAAACTGCCGGACCCCCGACTGGGCCTGACCCAAGCAGCGTTCCCTTCCCCTGCCCTCTGGCCCCTTCCCTGCTGGGAGCAGGAGCCCAAAGGCCAGGGTAGATGGGCACATCCGCCCCAGCTGGGCCTGCCCACAGTCTCCATGAGCCCCAGGCCGTGCTAACTGCCCCATCCCCCCCCCCGGCAGGTAGAGCTGTCAGACGGGACGTCGCATACCATCACGGACGCCTACGCGGGCAAGGAGTACATCATCCAGGTGGCTGCCAAGGACAACGACATCGGCACCTGGAGCGACTGGAGCGTGGCCGTGCATGCCACCCCCTGGACGGAGGAGCCCAAGTACCTCACCACGGAGGCCCAGGCACCAGGTGAGGGGCTGGGCCTCACGGTACAGCTCGGGGGGGGGGGCAGGGAGAGGAAGGCTTGGCTGCAGGGGCCTGGGCACTAGCTCGAGCAGGGCAGAGGAAGGGGTCGCTGAAGGGTATGTACAGAGCAGGGAGAAAACCCAGGAGTCCGGATGCCAAGACCCTCTGCTCTAGTTTATGTATGCACGCATGCATTCATGTGCATGGACGGGCATACATGCAGGTATGTGTGCCTGCATGCATGCGTGGCAGGGCACACACGCATGTGCCTGTGCATGAGACTCATCCAAAGCAGAAGCCACACACCTGTGAGCACCAGGCCCTGGCAGCACTGGGTGCTATGGGGCACCGGGCCCCACACAGGGAGTGAGGAGAGCCCCACAGCCCATGCCCCATGCCCCCCCATATCATAGCCTTCCCCTCCCAGGCGTGGCAGTCTCGTGCCGGGCTCCCTGCACACTCAGGCAGGCACTGCTACACTCCAGCTCTGCACAGGAGGTTGGAGACTCAGCCTCCTCGCACACCCATCCCGGGGCTCCAGGCGCTGGAGCTTCCAGTCAGGGGCAGCAGTGCCATTACCCCCACCCAGCCCACGTCTCTGCCTCTGGCTGTGCCCAGCTTGGACCCTGGGCAGCCCTGAGTGCTGCCGTTGCCTCGGCCTTCCCCTCCGGACCTGCCTCTGTGGGTGCAGGGAGGCAGGTCTCCCTGGCAGGCATCAGTGCCCCAGCCCCGGTGCTCCCGGAGCACAAGAGGGGCAGGGAGGGAGCCGGGGGGCTGCACGGGCTGGGACAGAGGCCAAGTGGGTGGGAAAGCGGCAGCATTGACAAGCTGCTGTTTCTAGGAAGGGGCTGGGATCCCAGCCAGCTCCCCGGGCACAGCGGCCGGCAGCTTCCCAGAAGGGCCGGAGTGGGCCCATGCTGGACCCCCCACCCCAGCACGGGCTGCCGGGAGGCTGGGAAACGCGTCCACGGCCCCAGCCAGTCACTGCTCCTAGCAAGGGGCTGGGGGAGGCACCAGGTCCTAAGTGCAGCTGCCTCTGTGTGTGCATGTATGCATGTGTGCGTGCGCAAGTGTATGGGTGTGCAACATGTGTGCATGCACATGTTTGAATGTTGGGGGGTGTGCATGGGGCTGTGAATGTGTGCACAAACCCTTAGCACTGTTGGCTAAGGGTTGCATATGTGTGCGCATGCTTGTGTGTATGTGTGCATGTGGCAGTGGGTGGGCGTATTGCTGCGTGTGTGTATGGGTGTGTACACGTGTGCGTGTGTATGTGTGAGTGAGCATGCGCACAAACCCTTAGCACTGGTGGCCATGTGTGTGTGCATGTGTGTGTGTGTGCTTATGCACATGCACACATAGATCGAACGGCCCAAGACTGAACGGTCACAAACTCTGCCGCGACCGAGTCAGGCTGGACGTGAGGAAGAACTTCTTCACTGTCCAAGCCCCCAAGGCCTGGAACAGCCGGCCGCCGGACGCGGTTCAAGCGCCCACTTTGAACGCCTCCAAGACACATTTGGATGCTCATCTTGCTGGGGTCCTATGACCCCCTGCTGACTTCCTGCCCCTGGGGCGGGGGCTGGATCGATGATCCTCCGGGGTCCCTTCCAGCTCCGGTGTCTATGCAATCTATGAAATATCCTCCATACGTGCTGCTCCCTCAGCTTGTGCAAACACACACGCCTGCCCACTCAGCCGGTCTCTCGCACACGCACTTGTGCACTTCTGGCCACAGGCCCCGGTTCACCTGCAGCCCCGCCCAGGAAACGCGTGACACGCTTTCCCCACCGTGCACACGCAGCCCTGCGCACAGTTCCCAGGGCACCGTGACAAGCCGTGGAGCACAGCTGAGGGGAGGCAGACTCACAATCGGCACTTCCTGTGTGTGCGTGCACCCCTCATGCACACAGATGCAGTCACGCTTGCACACGCATGTGCACGCACGCCCCCCTTGCACGCACGCACACACACGGACACCCTGGAGGCACTGGAGCAGCCCCTCCAGCCCTGGCCCCAGGCCCGAGGGGCAGCTCCAGGCTGGGTGTGCTCCCGGCAGCGTCTCTGCTGACTCAGCTCCTGCCGGGTCTGGCCTCCAGCTGTTGCCCTGGCTCTGAAGCGGCTCCTGGCTCTGGCCCAGCGGCTCAGGGGGGCACCGATTACATCTCCGGCCATGGCACGAGCAGCTGTGCACGGCGCGGAGGGAGCTGGCTGCTTCCACAGTCAGGGCTGGCGCTGGGGGGAGGATGGGAGCGTCGGGTCAGGATTGAAACCAGGTGTCCCCGGGGCCCGTGTACCAAGGGGACAGCTCGGGGGCAGGCAGTGAGGCTGCGGAGGGCGAGGACAGGGCAGTGCAAGGGCCAGGCTGACGCTCAGGGGCAGAGGGGAGGGAGATGCCCTGTGACATCACCAAGGATGTCACAGATGGTGGTTGATGTCACGCGCTACGCTGGTGATGTAGTGGGGCCCCGTCCCCTTGCTGTGGCATCACGCCTGCACGGCAAGGGGACGTCGGGAATTTGGGGATTTGTGGCAGGGCTGTCCCAGGGCAGGGGCCCAAGAGACACGGCTCTGGCCGGCCGGCCCCAAGTGAGTACGCGTGGTTTCATGGCAGGGCTCGGGGGGCCCCGCGTGTGCATCCATCAAGGTGTCTTCGCCCCTTTCGTGGTGGCCTGTCCCGCCGGGTTTGCTCCCAGGGAGGAGGGCCCCATGCCACCCGGAGGGCCCCGTGGCTGCGAGCATCTCTGCCCGTGGGTACCACGCGCCCAGCCACGCGGCCTCTTCTGTGGGCAGAGGGTGCCCTCTCATGGCCACTCGCTTTAGCACATGGTCCCACCAGGCTGGGCTGCTGGGTTGCTCACAGAGGCGCAGGGCCGTGGCGCTGGCAGGGAGCTGCGGGGATCACATCCAGCCCAAGCCCTGCCTGAGGCAGGATCAGCCCTGCGCAGCCCAGCCCAGGCACACCCAGTGTCCGGCCTCGGAGCAAAATGATGCCGTCAGGCCAGACCCAGCACCAGGCATCGCCCCTGACCCTGCTGCAGGGAAAGCAGGAGGACCGTGGCCACCAATGTCCTGCAAAGCGGGACAATAGATGCTCCAGAGACCCCGCTGCAGAGAAGCCTGGGAAACCCCCATAGCAGAGCACAGGCATGGCTGCACCTAGATCATCCCCCCCAGTGTCTCCTGGACACCTCCAGTGATGGAGAGCCCCCACCCCGTCCCTGGCATCTACCCCATGGCCTCCCTGCTCTGACAGTGAAGAAGCATTTCCTAAAAAACTTCCAAGAAGAGGTGGCAGGGAGCCCCTGGGCGTGGGGCTGGATGCCCCTCAGACTGATGCCCCACATGGCAGGCGCACAGGGCAGAGGGCCCGTGTCCAGGCCCCCTCACCCGGGCACAGAGGGACGCTGGCATCGCTGGTGGTGGATGGGAGAGAAGGAGAGAGAGCGGCATGGGGAGCAAGACGCTCAGTGGTGGGTGGACAGCCGCATCGAGAGAGGTGGCTGAAGCGGGTGCAGGGGCCACCATTTATGTCCCCGGGCAAAGGGGCTGCCATGGCGGCCCCAGGCCCACCTGCCTCCCGGTCCTCTCCCCCGCTGCAGAGACGACGACCAGCAGCACCTCGTCCTTCGTGCCGCCCCCCACCACCAAGATCTGCGACCAGGAGAAAGTCGTCGGCAGCGGGGCGGTGGCGGTGGCAGTGTCCTGGGCAGCTGGTCTGGTCCTGGCAGCGGCTGGCGTCCTGTTTATTTAGTGAGTACCCCCCTCCGCGGCTGGATGGGGACCTCCAGCATAAAAGCACGCCTGTCTGGGAGGGGAGAAGTCCCCACAGATCACTGGAGCCGGGGAGGGACGACTGTCTGTCTCCCTGTTGTCCTCCACCCTTTCTCTCCTACCTCCTGCGACTTCTTCCACCTTTTCATCTATTTGCCTCTGCCTGCTTTCCATCCTCTTTCTTTCTCCATCCATGCATCCTCTTTATCTCCCATCAGGTAGGATAGGGTCCTGCACGTGCACCAGCAGTAACAGCATTAACAGTTAATTAGCTGCACGGGCCTCTGGACTGATGCCATCCAGGAGCTCAGCTGGCCTTGTGCTGGGGTGCCTGGATGGAGGGTGGCGTGGGGGACCCTCCGGCCGAGGGGGTTGCGGTGACCTGTGTCTCCCCCTCTTGCTTGCAGATCCCCGGCCGCCACAGAGGAGGACAGCGCCCGCCCGCGTCTCTTTTCTCTTCTATTTTGCACATGTTTAGGAGGACGGATCCACATTTCTCTTCATCGCTTCACTTTCTAAAGGACAGGCCGGCCGTGCCAGGGCTGGGGCAGGCAGAAAATGCCCCCCTCCCCACTCCCACCGTTCAGCCGGGCAGAGACCTTGACCCCAGAGAGAGGAAACCACCCCCCTCGGCATCCCTGGACCCCCCTGGCCCACCCAGACCCTGCATCCCCGGAGCAGAGCACGAGCCGCCGCGGGCGAGACGGGATCATACAGCTACAGCGCCATGCCAAAGATGACCAGCGAGCACGCGGCGCGCCCGGCGGGCACCCCCAGCCCCGTGCCTGCAAACCTGGATACTGATGGGGGGACCCACCCAGGGGTTCACCTCTCTTCCCCTCCAGCCCCTGCCATCCAGGCCCTGAAGAACTGGACTGGACGCCCGGGGCAAGGGGCTAAGGCTGGAGGGCGAGCCTGGAGACAGCCCTCTGGCCGCGGGGGTCATGGGGATGGACTCATGCATGCCAGGGGCGGGAGCAGGGGCAGGGGAGGGTCTGGGGACTTCATTTTTTTAATGGGAGGGAAATGGAAATGAAGAGAAAGCAGCAGCAAATCTGACACACGTGCACACACACACACACACACACACACGTGCGTGTCCCCCAGGCCTGCCCACGCAAGCCACCACCTCGCACCCCTTTGCATCTCTCTCTTTTTATCACGCCCCCCCGGTCATCACCTCCGTGTCGGGGTCGGTCTCGTGGCTCATTATGGACCAGTCATGTGGCCAGCATCACCCCCCCAACACGCCGCCCTTTCTCCCTCCTTTCGCTTCCCTCCTCTTCCTCCCCAGTCCTGTTTTGTAAGGCAGCTCCCCTCTCCTGCCCGGCCCGAAGCGCAGTATTTAATCCCGTCCGCCCCAGTATTGCCCCAGTCACAGGCTGTATTTGAATTTTTTATAGATGTATATATAAAAAAAAGAGCCAAAACAGAAAAAAAAAAAAGAAAACACCACATATACGTGCGCGCGCGCGCACACACACACACACACACGCGCGCAAACCGTGACAACCCAGGAGAGAGGTGGTTTCATTAAACGTCGTCATTTCATGACCACCCGGCCCTGGTATTCTTTCGCCGGTGGGGTGGGGAGGGGGTTTCACCCCAGACAGGCTCCAGGGATGATGGATGGGCCTGGGAAGGTGTTAGCAGGAGCCCCGATGCCTCCCAGGGCAGGACAAGTCCCCAGGGTGGGGGGTTTCAGCAGACCCCAGCATTGCAAATAGCTCCCCCCAGCTCTGGGCATGGGACCATTGGCCTTACAAGCTATGCACTGGGGCATTAGCACGGGCATCTGTCCTGCCCGGGATGCAGGGCTTGGCTATGTGACCCCCCCATCTCTGCTTTTCCCCTGCTGGCACCTGCTGTGTGTCCCTAGAGCCCACGAAACAAGTATTTGGCACACAAGGCACAGAGGAAAGCCCACCCAGCCGGCCAGTTCCCCATGCACACACCTTGGGAGCCCTGCGCGGGCTGGTTCTCCTGGGTTTGCCATGGGCAGCCTGACCTCTGCAGAGATGCACGCAGGGCTTCCCACCACCTCCTGCCTGCACTTGAGGCTGCCCCTGGCTGGACTCTTGCCCAGGTGTTGTGCTTGGGGCTATGTGGGGGCTGGCATCAGTTCATTCAGCCTCCTGCAGCGGCCACGTTGGCTGGGAGCATGAAAACGATGCAGCAGGCGTGACGCTCACCTCTGCAGCCTGTGCCTGGCTGAAGGCACAGGACCATGAAGCATGGCATAGAGGTGTCAACGGAGTCACTCATCCAGGCCTTGCACGGCTTCCTCCGGAGAAGACAAAACTTAGTCTGCAGAAGAGAAGACCGAGGGGAATTGAATAGCAGCCTTCACCTCCCTGCAGGAAGGATGGAGCTGGACTGGTCTCAGTGGGGGCTGATGGCAGGACAAGGAGCAATGGGCTCAAGCTGCAGCCAGGGAAGTTGAGGTTGGATATTAGGAAAAACTCAACTCCCCTTGCTGCAGCTTGAGCCCATTGCTCCTTGTCCTTTCATCTACCACTGAGACCAGTCCAGTTCCGTTCCCTGTGCAACCCCCCGTAGGGAGTTGAAAACTGCTATTCAATCCCCCTCGGTCTTCAAGGGGCAGAGGCAGTCCTGGGGTGGGTGTAGCCATTCAGACAGGGCCTCCAGGGACATGTAGAGGTGCAGGGAGGCGTGGACTGAGCGCGAGGCGCAAGGCCTTCGAGGCAGGTCGCTGCATATGCAACGGGGGCCCAAGCTGTCCGGCGAAGGTGATTGCCTCTCGACAAGCTTGGAGCAAAGACCTTTGCTGAGCTGGCAGAAAGGCGGCACTGGAAGAAACCCCTGTATCGCCCAGCCTGCCTGCCATCGCCGGACAGATGCAGGACCAGCTCCCAGGCGCTCGGAGCAAGGCTCGGAGCCCGAGAGCTCTCTGCCTGCGTGCAAGGCGCTCGGGCGTCATCGCTGCGACTGCCTGGGGACAGCCAGGCTGCGTGGTCTGTGGAGAGCACTGCATGGTGCATGAGACAGCACTCCCCATCCCTCCCTGCTCGTCTCCGGCCAGCTGCAGCAGTTTAAGCTGGTGATGGATGAGGCCGGACCGGCTTGGAGCTCGGGTGCAGATAAGACCCCGGTGCTGTCCTGAGCGCACCGCCAAAACCTCTTGAGTATGCAGAACTGAGAGAAAAGTTTGATGGATGGGGCTGCTGTCCTGGCATATTTGAAAGCAAGAGAGACGGATGTTGCATTGAGCACTGAAACCTTCCTCCTTGCCAGGGCTGGAGAGCTCCAGTCCTGGGTCCTGGTGGGACTCTGCACACAACCTTTCTCCTCTCTGCTCACCAGGGCTGGACGTGTGGGAGGGGGACATCAACCCCCCACTCCCTGGTGTACATCTGAGGTGCCTGGGTGCTAATAATGAGCCCTCCAGGGATGTTGAATCAGTCCTAGAGCTGTGGGGTTGGAAGGGACCTGCAGAGTCGCATCTAGTCCAAGCCCCGCCTGGGGCAGGATCAGCCCTGTCCAAACCAACCCAGTGTCCAACCTCTGAGCAGCACGATACAGGCACCCTGACACAGCACCAGGTACCACCCCCAACCCTGCCGTAGGGTGAGCAGGGGGTCTCTGGCCACCAGTGTCCTGCTGCTGCAAAGCGGTTCATAGATGCTCCAGGGACCCCAGGCTGAGGCCGTGCCCCTGCTGCAAAGGAAGGCACCCCCACCCCCGCCGTCCGTACCAGCGTGAATAGGGAGGAAACCCCTTCCTGCCTCCAGTGCAACGCCGCTCTGAGCCTGAGCAAGACCCTCCAGCCAGGACCCGGCAGGGTTGGTCCCAGCAGAAGCATTGGCACAGCCCAGCCCCATCCCCATCCCCATCCCCAGCCTGGCTTGCCTGGCTCCAGACACTGCCCTTCTGCTCCAGCAGGATTATTGCTATCGTGGCCAAGCGCACCGCACCTCTCCCAACCTCTCCCGGCATGCACGGAGCACCAGTCCCACCCCAGGGGCTGCTATGGGCTATTTCCCCCACTGAGCACCAAAGCAGCAAGTCTGGCGAGAAGGGAAAATGCATTGCAAGAGATGGGAACAGAGCCTGGGGAGCTGTGAGGAGGGGCGCTCCTGATAGCAAGCCCTGGCGGGCTGGGGAATCATCTCCCGGGGCAGGAGGCTGATCCATAAGCTGAGCTAGGCTCCAGGGTGTGGGGGCAGCCGGTCCTGCCCGGGCTCCCAGTGGGGCTGGGCCAGCGGCTCTGAGGGACAAGAGGTGCATCCGGGACAGGACAGGGGCCGCTGGAAGGGATGGAGCACCCCTCCGAGAGACATCCAGGGGCTATCCCCTTGGGCCGGGTCGGGTGGCAATGCTGGGTGTCGCAATGCCACCGCTGTTCCTACAAGGTCTTGCTCCCTGTATCGATTACACAATGGCAAACTTAAAGGGGCTCAAAAAAACTTTGTGGAAAGGGGAGTGACGTGCTGCCAGTCACTCCTGCCAGGCAGAGGACACGATGCTGATTCTCCCCAGAAACCGGAAAGAGAGGTGGATGGCGTAAAGGAAAGGTGGGGGAGCGGCCTTCAGGACATCCCTAGAAAAGAGGAGGTGGTTTCTGGCCCTAACCTCTGAGCTGGTGTAAAGACCGGATGCTCCTGAGCTTGGCTGGGCCTCGGCTAGGGCAAGCTGAGGGTTGCTGGCAGGGTGGTAGCTAAGTCAAGTCCCCTGCAGAGAGCTCGCTGGCGCAAGGCATCGCTCGAGAGCTGCTTTTAGAAGAAGCCGGTGAGAGTTTCTAGTTGGACCTTGTGTTTTTTCTCTTCTCTGTCTCTCAAACCAAATACTGTAGCTGGTTTTGCTGGTGTGCTGACTCCTTGCTTTTTTTGCTGGAAGTCCTGTTTCACCGCCCGCGGGGTGTGAAGGGGTCTTGTATGGTTGTTATAGAAATCCTAGGGAGGTGGGGCTGGAGGGGAGATCACAGCTGGTCTGACCCCTTCCTGGCACAGGGTCAGCCCTGTCCAAACCAGCCCAGACAAATCCAGTGTCCAGCCCCCGTGCAAAATGATGCGGTCAATCCTGACACAGGCCCAGGCATCACCCCCAGCCCTGCTGCAAAGGAAAGCAGGGGGCTGCAGCCGCCAACGTCCTGTGGCTGCAAAGGGGGTTCATAAATGCTCCAGAGACCCCAGGCAGAGGCCGTGCCCCCGCTGCAGAGGAAGGCAACCCCCACCCCAGTCTGCACCAATCTGACCAGGGGGTAAATCCCTTCCTGCCCCAATGCAGCATCGGTCTGAGCTTAAGTGCAGGGGCAAGACCCTCTAGCCGGGACCCTGCAGGGTTGGTGCCAGCAGGAGCATTGGCACAGCCCTTTTTTCCTGGCCAAACTAGATGACCTCCGGCGGTCCCGTCCAGCCCTACTTCTCTGTGACTCCTGCTTTGCCTTACTCGAGTAACTGCAGCAAGCGTGATCACAAAGCTTTAGGCTTGGAAGGAGAGGGCTCTGCTTCGTTTCCTTTGCAAACCTAGTGCAATCACCCCAAAGAGCAGCAGAGCTTCCTCCACCGGAGCTGCGTGGCTCCGCTCTGGGGCGAAGGAGACCAGGCCTGACGAGGGGTGAGGAGTGGCCCCAGGTGCAAGATCTAGTCTGTGCCCTGGGACATGCTGGAGAACCTAGGGGGGTAGCACAGGCTCTGGGGTCACCCCCATGGCTTAACAGCTAAGGGGCCCTTTCTAGGGTCTTTCAGAATCAGGCATCTGCATGCAAAATCCAGGCCAGCGAAGTTGGTGCTCGAGAGTCACCGACTCCATCCCGGTGACACTGGCTTCAGCAAGGATGCTGGCATTTGTGCGACGATCTTTCCGCGGGACGTGGAGGATTTTCTGGAGGCATCAGCGGTACCTCTCCAGGCTCTTGGGATGACCATTGTCCATCACCTATGTTTCACACCCATAGAAGAGGGTGGGGAGGATGCTGCAGCCTGCTCTCCCCTGGGGAAGGACCTGCAATGTCTGCAGGCAGGTCTGTGGCTCAAGGATGAGGCTCTCAAGTCACCGCAAGACTCGTCGATGAGCCGTGGGAGAGATCATCCTTGAATTGAGGGATGGCCTATGTCGACAATCTCCTGCTCCATGGTGCCATGACTGCCAAGACACCGCAAAACAGCGAGAGGCATTTCTGGGGCTCCAAACATCCTTGAGGTTTGCAGTCGGGAATAAGGGCTCTGATCCCTGAGTGCCCTGATGGACCCTGACGCTGATGAGAAAGTCCCTAAAAAGACCCAAGACTGACTTTTCCCTGGAGCTGGATCAATGGTTGAGACTGTTGAGACTCCAGGACCCCTTCGACAGACCCCAACCCCCCTTGGAAAATGCCAGCTCTGAGCTTTCACTTGTTTCCTGACTGCAGAAAAATCCTAGAGCAATTCTTCTGCTGCAAAGAGCTCCGCCAGCCCACAACGGGGCAGAAAGGTCTCACCTCTCCAGATTCCTAGTT